GCTCTGCAATCCCCACCAGCCACTCGGCTCCCTTTGATCCCCTGCTCCCAGCAGGCAGCAGCTGGGGCAGGGAGCCTGAGCCTGGGGCTGCAGAGCCTCTGTGGGAGCAGCACCGAGCCTGGGGCTGGGGAGGGGAGGTGCCTGTCTGGCTGGGCTTTGCAGCAGCCAGCGGGGCAGTTCCTGGGTGGTGACTGGGAATGTTCAGGGAGCTTTGGGGAGCACACCTGGGCACAGGTGCTGTGCAGGGGTTGGTGTGAGGAGCACAGCTGGAGCAGGATGGGCCATGGGGGCTGTTCCTGAGTGCCAGGCAGGAAGGGAGTTTGGATGTGACCTGGAACCCCTGTGCAGCTGGGTCTGCTCTGCAGGTGCTGATTTTGGAGGGCTCTGAGTTTTAAACCCCAGCCTGGCTGCAGGGTGCTGTGCAGCTGGGCAGGTCCCTGCTGGCTGCAGAGGAGGCAGAAGAGTTTTCCACTGACACCTTGACTCCAGAACCTGATGGGCTCCAAGGAATCCATTTCAAGGAGTGCTTGTGGCCAGCAGGAAAGCTTTTCTGGGGTCCCTGCCATGTCTGACTGTGGAACCCCCTCCCTGTCAGCCACTGCTTCTCAGACCCCTCCCCACGTGCCTCTGCCACTTCCAGCCATGCGGGAGGGTTGGACCCTCCCCTTGAGCTGGTTTCTGTGTTTCCCCTTTTCCTGGGTCACTTTTGAGCCAGCCCTTGCACCTCCTGCTCCTCCTGTCGCTGCAGGGCCGCTGTGCTGTGTCCCTGCCCGAGTGCAGGGCGGGGCACGGGGGCTGCCGGAGCCGCGGGACCCCGATCAAAGGGAGCCCGGGCCGTTCCGAGCTCTGCTCTCCGCCCGGGAGCCCCGGGAGAGGGGAGTGCTTTCCCTGGTGTGATTTCAGTGAGATCCCTTGGAGTGCCGGCCCCGGGCTGGATCCACCCTCAGCAATAACCTCCAGCCCCTCCGCCCAGCCCGTCCTTGGTTTATCCACGAGCTCTGCAAGAATTGCCAAAGCTGAGGCTTGGGGGTGTCAGGGGGCCCCTGGACTTCCAAACCCCACTGTGAAATTCCCTCTCGTTTGCCCCTGATGCTTTTTACAGAGCGGAGTTTGGAACGGCGAGGGCGAGCCCCCATCCCTCATCCTTTGTTCCCTTCATCTCTGCGGGGCGCTGGGTTTCTTTGTAAATATTTAAACTCTGCTTCTGTGGTTTCATAATCCCGACGGCAGGGAAATAAACTGATTTCTGTGGATATCTGCGAGGCTGTATCTCCTCCCTCAGCCCAGAGCGGGGCTGGGGTCGGGATCTCCCTGCCCCACCCAGCCCTGGCCCCTCTGCTGCCCGAAGGAGCTGGATCCTGCAGCTCCCACACCTTTGCCTGTATGAACTCGCCCTTTTCCCTGCTCCAGGGAAAACTCCCAGCCCTGCTGCCGGGAGGGAGGTTTGGGGAGCAGGAGAATTCCCCATCCCTGCAGTGCAGGAAGGGTTCGTGGGATTTAGTGCCGGGCCTCGACGCCTGGGCAGGGGCAGCCAAGTGTTCTGGGGTGGGAGATGCTTTTTTCCAAGGCTGATTCCCTTCAGCTGTGAACAGCTTCCCTTTTGTCTGTGCTGTGTCCTTTTTTGCGGGAGGCACTGCTTTCCCAGCTCCTTTCCCTTCCCAGGGGAGGGGACGCCTGTGCTGGCCCTGGGGCTGCCAGGAGCAAAGAGCCAGACTCATTTTCCCCTCTCCCAGCAGGGTCTGAGCTGGGAGCAGAGCTGTGCCTGCTGACTGCAGATGCAGCCGCTGATTTTCTGTTCCATCTGACATCCAGCGGCTGGAGCTGTGGGGAGGGAGTACATCAGCCTTAAAATTAGGCTGTGTCCGAGGCCAGGGGATTTCACGGTGCAGCCATTTCATGGAAAACCACCTGGATCCTGCTGCTCAGCCCCTGCAGGCGAGCGAGCTCCGCTCCTGCGGGCTGCCGGGGCTTCATCCCGCACACATCTGCGGGGCAGGTGAGGGGAGGAGGCAAAGCCCCCGGGACTTGGGGTCCCTCCCCGCCTGCCAAGCCTGGCAGGATTTCCCAAACCATCTCCTGCTGCCGGGAGCTCCGGGGATCAGCAGGATGTGTGGGATGAGCCCGTGGTTCGGGTCACTGCAGGGAGGGAGAGCCGGGCCGAGCGTGCCGGGAGTGCCGGGGAATGCCGGGCAGAGGCTGCCCTGCGAGCCCGGCTCCCTGCTCCCCTCTGCCCTGCTCCCCTGCTCCCTTCTGCCCTGCTCCCCTCCTTTCTCTCCTCTCCTCTCCATTCCCTTTTTCCCCCTCTCCATTCCCCTCCTTTCCTCCTCTGCTCCTGCCCGTGCTCCAGTGCCTGCTCCTGCCTCAGTTTCCCCCAGGAGAACCAGAGCTGGCTGTACCTCCCGGACCTGAGGAGCGAGTCCTGCAGGGGGAGCAGGCTGGGAGCAGGGCTGGGAGCAGGGATGGGAAAAGGGCTGGGGGCAGGCCGGGACTCGCTCCTGGCCAGCGCTGGCTCGGGGCTGCCCACGCGGCGCCGAGGAGAGAAAAAACCTGCCCCGTGCCTGTGCCAGGGCTGCCTGCAAGGAAAACCATCCCCGAGGGCTGGCCTGGCACCTGGCTCAGGTGTGCTGCTGGCCAGGGTGCCCCTGGGTGTCCCAGGGTGTCCCTGGATGTCCCAGCCTCTGTCCCCAGCACCCCAGGCTGTGGCTGGGGCCCAGCACACTCTGGGTCTCCAGGGATGGCTGGGACACTCTGCAGGACGTGTCCCACCTCTCCTCACTCCCTTCCCCACCCCACAAGGGCTCTCCCCCCGGGTGCTGCAGGAGCAGAGGGCCCAGGGTGCCCAGCCAGGGCTCGGTGCCCCCCTGTGAGTGTCCCAGGGTGTCCCTGGATATTCCTGGGTGTCCCAGAGTGTCCCTGGGTGCCCTTGGGTGTCCCTGGGTGTTTGTGGGTGCCCCTGGGTGTTTGTGGGTGCCCCTGGGTATCCCTGGATGTCCCTGGGTGCCCCTGGGTATCCCAGTGTGTCCCTGGGTGTCCCAGGGTGTCCCTGGGTGTCCCAGCCTCTGTCCCCAGCACCCCAGGCTGTGGCTGGGGCCCAGCACACTCTGGGTCTCCAGGGATGGCTGGGACACTCTGCAGGACGTGTCCCACCTCTCCTCACTCCCTTCCCCACCCCACAAGGGCTCTCCCCCCGGGTGCTGCAGGAGCAGAGGGCCCAGGGTGCCCAGCCAGGGCTCGGTGCCCCCCTGAGCCCCCAGCCCATGAGAAGCCCTGGGGGCACTCGGGGGTCCTCACGTCCCTCTGCAGAGCCCTGGCTGCATTCCCAGGCCAGCCCTGGGACTGAGGGGGTCCCACCCCTCTGGGACCCCCGGCAGAGCTGAGCTCTGCACGGGGAGAGGGAGGGGACACCACGGACAGACACACGAAGCCACTGCTGAAGTCTCATTTCCTGAGAAACCAGGCTAAAAATAATCCCCTTTTCTCGCGGTCCTGTGCTCGTTAAGTGCTGCCATCTCACACCGAAGCTGGGGGGAGCCTGTCCCCCGCCCAGCCAGCTGCTCTGCTCCGCTATCCAGGGAAACTGAGGCACGCTGTGCGCTCCTGCCCGGCTTTATCCCTGCCTGAACCCATCCTGCGAGGGGCTGAGCGCCCAGGGGGGTCCTGCCTGCTCGGGACCCCCGGCCTGTGGGAGCAGGATGGGGTGGTGGGCTGGATGTACCCGTGGGGCAGGGAATAGGGGCTGGGGGAGCCACGGGGGGCTGGGGAGGGGGCTGGGAATGCGTTATGGGATGGGGTCCTGCAAAGCCCCGGGGGCTCTACACCGGCTTTGGGGTGGGGGCTCAGGGGCTCCCCCGAGCCCAGCACGGACCAGTCCCCCCGGTCCCCCCAGGGCAGCCCAGGCTCCCCCAGGAGCCCCAGAGGCTCCTCCTGCCCCAGCCCCGTGTGACACCGGGCTGGGACATCGCCCACCCCCATTTCCACACCCTCGTTTCGGGTCTGCACCGGGCCTGGGGTCCCCCCGTCCCCCCGGGGCGCATCCCCGCTGCGCCACCCCTTCCCCGGCGCTGACGCCTCCCAGTTCAGCCCAGTTGAGCCCAGTTCAGCCGTCCGGCGGGTGCTGCCGGCTGCAGTCCCGGCTGTCGCGCTGCCAGGGCTGAGTCACCGGGTACGGCACCCAGCGGGGCCGGGGGCACCGCGCACCCACCGGGGCCCCGGGGGGCGCCGAGCCACGGAGACCCCCCAGCTGGGCAGGTAAGGGGGGCAGGGGCTGAACCGGGGTCTGGCCCCGCTCCTCCCGCCCCTCGGGGACTGCACGCCCCCTCCCCGTGAGGAGCGGGGCTGGGGGCTGCGGGTCACGCCTTGCGGGGGGGTCTCCCTGTCCCCGCGCTGGGTCTGAGACCCCCGAGGTGGGGAGAGCGAGGGTGGCCGGGCAGCCCTGGGCTGGGCTCGAGGCCACCGGGACCCTCTGGGGGTCACCGGGGGCGCTGCATTTTGGGGAGGGGGCCTGGGGGGTGTCTCACGCCGTCTGGACCCCCCCCCTCCGTCTTGTGGGGCTGCCCGCAGTGAAAAATGGGGACGTGCAAGCCCCAGCTGCGGCTCGCAGGGGAGGTTTAACTGGTTTGACTGGTCCCGGAGCGGGGTGGGGGGCGGGGGCCGCACCCCCGAGCGCCCGGGGGGCTCCGGGCTTCACCTCGGCTCGGTTTTGGGGACCCCACAGGGAACGGGGCACGGCAGCGGCGCCCGGCTCACACCTAGGTGACATTTTTAGGTGGTGGCTCTGTTCCGGGGCGGGGGGACCCCCCCGTGAGCCGGCAGTAAACAGGATACGAGCGGCGGGGAGACAGCGGCAGCATCGCCCCGGCCCGGGCTGAGCCGGTTCGTGCCCCCCGAGACCCTCCCAGCCCGGGCTGAGCCGGTTCGTGCCCCCCGAGACCCTCCCAGGGCGATGTGGGGGCGGGGGGCTGGTGGGTGTTCCCGGGGGGGCAGGGGGTGTTGTCGGGGTTCCCTGGGTGTGCTGGGGGTCCCTGGGCTGGTTTGCTGGGGGTTGGCACCCGCCGTGCTCAGGTGCTGGGCTGGGGTTGGGGACCCCCGGGGCTGGGACAGGGGCACCCGTGGGGCAGGGACGGGACCCTCCGAGGGGCTGGGGACAGGCTGGGACAGGGCCACGCGTGGGGCGGGGTCAGAGCCCCCTTTGGGGCTGGGGACGGGCCGCTGGTGGAGGTGGGGCACGCCAGGGCTGGGCTCTGGGGGTGCCGGGGGGGGTTCAGGCTGCTCCTGCCCCACGGCTGCTGCAATTTCCTGCCCTCGGTGACAGCAGGCAGCGCTTTCCCAACCCCGGGGACAGGAAGGACCGGGCATGGGGCAAGACCCCTCCGGGAGGTGCCGTGAGCTGAGCACGGGTCCGGCCCGCTCCGGGCTCAGCCCACCGTGGGGGCAGCCAAGCCCCCTCTGCCATCTGTCCGTGTGCCCTGGCAGCCGGAGAATCGCTGGGAAAGCGGCAGGGGCAGAGCCAGCCCTGGGCAAACACGCTGGGCAAACAGCGGGCAGGGCTGGCCTGGCACGGAGCCGGCAGCGGGAGGAGCGGCGCGGTGCCCCGGGCTGCCCGTGCCCTTCCCGGCACCCTGAGCACCGGCCCGGTGCCCCCGAGCCCGGCCTGGCACCCCGGGCACCGGCCAGGCTCCTTTGTCCCGGGGGTGTCGCGGGGTGCGGGTGCGGGCTGAGCTCCCCCCGCTTGTCCTTGCAGCGGGATGAGCGGGGGGGTCGCTCCGCAGAGCCCCCCAGGTGCCTCTGCAGATGCTGGCGTCGCTGGTGCACGCCCGGCGCGCTGAGCAGCCGCTGTCGCTGTCCCCGCGCGCTGTCCCCGCGCTGTCCCCGCCGCCCCGCATGGCGCTGCGGCCCGAGGCGCTGCTGGACCTGAGCTTCCTGACGGAGGAGGAGCGCGGCTGCATCGCCCGGGTGCTGCGGCGAGACCGGCAGCTCCGCCGGAGGGAGCAGGGCCGCGTCAGGTGCGCCGGGGTCCCTGCCCGTGTCACCCCTGGGGACAGCGGGGACCCCCAGCAGCTCCCCTGGGACAGAGCAGCCGGGCCGAGGGTCCCCTGCTCCCCCGGGGTCGGGGTCACCCGCTGAGCTCAGCCTGGGTTTGTCACACCGGCACCGGGGCTCCCGGGGCTCCCGGGGCTCCCGGGGGCCGTGGCTGTCCCGCTGCCCTGCTGGGGCGGCTCTGGGGCGGTGGCAGTGCCAGCCCGGGGTGCCACTGTCCCTCCTGGCCAGCAGCAAGCTCCGGCAGTCGGTGTCGGACCCGGCGCGGCTGCGGAGCCTCAGCGGGGACTGGTTCTGCCTGGCCCGGGCGCAGCGCCACCAGCCCGCGCTGGGCTCCGACCTGGTGCGCGCCTCCATCCGCCGCAGGAGCCCGGCCCGGGGTACGCGGGGGGCGCGGGGGGCGCGGGGGCGCGGGGGCCGGGCTGAGCCCTCTGAGCCCCCCGATGCCACCAGGACCCGCGGAGCTGGGGCGCCTGGAGCCGCGGGCAGAGGAGGAGGATGATGAGGATGATGAGGATGATGAGGATGAGGATGAGGATGGTGCCTTGGGGACGGACAAGAGGTGAGGGAAGGAAGGGTGTCACCCCACAGGAGCCCCGGGGCTGGTGGCATCTCGCTGGTCCCCACTGGGGGTGGCACAAGGGGCTGGGGGGAGCAGGGGCCTGGCGGAGGGGACGGCGCAGTCAGAGTTGGTGTCTGTCCGTCCGTCCGTCTGTCCGTCATTCCAGGGCCTGGCTTTCCACCATCCATGCACCACTGCCTCCCAGCACCCCAGCGCCTGTTTGTCCACCTTCCCAGTGTCTGTCTGTCCACCACCCCAGTGTCAGTCTGTCCCTTATCCCAGTGTCCATCTGTCCGTCTGTGCCTTATCCCAGTGTCCGTCTGTCCCTTATCCCAGTGTCTCCCACCGTCCTGGCCCTGCCTGGGCACCATCCAGGCCAAGCTAACGGTGGTCTCTTCCCCAGCTGCCCCCCGGAGGAGCTGCAGGAGGTCACTGAGCCCCAGGTGGGTCCTGCTGGGGGCTGGGCAGCACCTGGACCCCTGGGGGGGGTCACCCTGCAGCGCCCCCAAAACTGTGCTGCACTCGGAGTGACGGGAAATGTCCCACAAAACGTCCTTGGGGTGTCCCCATCCCTCACCCTGTCCGCGGAGGGCCGTGGGGGGAGCAGGGGGTGCCCGGGGTCCCCTTCTCACCCTTTCCCCCCCAGCCCAGCCCCCCCACCCCGGCCGTGGAGGGGACCCCGGTGTCACAGCCCGGGCCGCAGGGTGACAGCCCGGCGAGGGAGCGGGAGCAGCCAGGTGAGCAGGGGGGCTCGGGCTGGGGGGGCTGGGGGCTGCAGCCTCCTCCTGCCCCCATAGCGGCCCCTCAAGGGACCCCCTCCTGCCCCCACCCAGCCCTTGTTCCTGCAGGTGACACGGGAGGTCCCTCCCCCGGCCCGTGCAGCACGGAGGAGGAGGAAGAGGAGGAGGAGGAAGCACACAGCAGCCACAGTGCTGGGCAGGTGGGCTGGGGGTGCTCTGGGGGTTTCTATGGAACTGGGGAGGGCTATATGGGACTGGGGTCTGGAGAGGGTTGTGAGGAGGTTTGGAGTTGGTGGGTGGGGTTTTGGGGGTCTGTGTGGGGTTTTGGGGGTCTGTGTGGGGTTTTGGGGACCCGGGGGGACTGGACAGAGCCAGCACTCCTGAGCAGCAGGCACTGCTGGGAGCTGGCTGTCCTCAGTGGGTCTGGGGGCCCAAGGGGGGGTGCTGACCCCTCTTTGTATTTCCAGCGAGCAGAGACCCCCCAGAGGGATCAGAACCCCCCTGAGCCAGTGTCCCCACAGAACGGCCACAGCCCCCCGAGCCTGCTGAGCACCAGCTCCTCCGTGTCCAGCCTCAGCTCCTCCACGGTGCGCGGCTGGGACTGGGACTGGGGATGGGAGTGGGAATGGGAATGGGGCTGGGGCTGGGAATAGAAGTGGGGCTGGGAATGGGAATGGGGCTGGGTTTGGACTGGACCTGGGTTTGGACTGGAACTGGGACCGGGAGTGGGACTGGGAATGGGACTGGGACTGGGATTGGGGCTGGGTTTGTGCTGGATTTGAGCTGGGTTTGGGGTTTGGGCTGGGTTTGTTCTGGGTTTGGGGTTTGTGCTGTGTTTGTGCTGGGTTTGGGGTTTGGGCTGGGTTTGTGCTGGGTTTGGGGTGTATGCTGGGTTTGTGCTGGGTTTGGGGTTTGGGGTTTGTGCTGGGTTTGGGGTTTGTTCTGGGTTTGTGCTGGGTTTGGAGTTTTGGCTGGGGTTTGTTCTGGGTTTGGGGTTTGTGCTGGCTTTGTGCTGGGTTTGGGCTGGGTTTGGGCTGGGTTTGGGCTGGTTTGGATGTCCCCAGCAGCCCCCTGTGTCCCCAGCTGAGCGGCAGCCTGAGGAGCCTGTACAGCGAGGCCGAGCTGGGTTTGTGGTGGTTTTGAGCTGGGTTTGGGCTGGGTTTGGGCTGGGTTTGGGCTGGTTTGGCACCCCCCAGCAGCCCCCTGTGTCCCCAGCTGAGCGGCAGCCTGAGGAGCCTGTACAGCGAGGCCGAGCTGGGCCGCGTGGCCGTGCGCGGCTGCGTGCAGTTCTCGCTGCGCTACCGCGCAGCCGAGCAGGAGCTGCAGGTGCACGTCCTGCGCTGCCGGCAGCTGGCCGAGGCCAAGAAGCAGCGCTCGGACCCGTGAGTGCCCAGCCCTGGGGGGCACGGCCCAGGGGGTGCCCCTGGCCCCTGCCCCAGCTCGCTTTTGGCCCCAGGTACATCAAGACGTACCTGCTGCCCGACAAGTCCAACCGCAGCAAGCGCAAGACCGCCGTGAGGAAGAGGAGCTTGGATCCCGTCTTCAACGAGACCCTCAAGGTTCCTAAGCCCCCTTGGGGTGGGTTTGGAGGGCTCGGACTGGAGGGGTGGGGGTGGCTAATCTCACCCCGTGTCCCCTCCCCACCAGTACAAGCTGGAGGAGAGGGACCTGCAGGGCCGGACCCTGAACCTGTCCGTGTGGCACCACGACAGCCTGGGCAGGAACCTCTTCCTGGGCGAGGTGGAGGTGGCGCTGGGCACCTGGGACTGGGCCAACACCCGCCCCGAGTGGTTCAGCCTCCAGCCGCGGGTGAGCTGCCCTCCTCCGCAGCCCCTGCAGGCGCTCTGCCCCCGTAACCCCCCTGCTCCTCAGGTGCCCGTCCCCCCGGGCGGCCTGGCCAGCCGCGGCAGCCTCAACCTGGCGCTCAAGTTCATCCCGGCCGGCTCGGAAGGTGAGGGGGGCGGTGGGCAGCGGGGCCGGCGTGCCAGGCTGCCCCTGACCCCTGTGGCCCGCAGGAGCGGGGCTGCCACCCACGGGCGAGCTGCACATCTGGGTGAAGGACGCCCGGAGCCTCGTCCCGCTGCAGGGCGGCACCGTGGACGCCTTCGTGCAGTGGTAAGGGCGGGGTGGCACCGGGGACACCCGCGGGGGCGGCGGGTGTCCCGCTCACCCCGAGCCCCCCCAGCTACGTGCTGCCGGATGACAGCAAGGCCAGCCGGCAGAAGACGCGGGTGGTGAGGAGGAGCCTGAGCCCCCTGTTCAACCACACCATGGTGTACGACGGCTTCCAGGCCAGGGACCTGGCCGAGGCCTGCGCCGAGTTCACGCTCTGGCACCGCGAGGCCTTCGCCAAGCGCCAGCTGGGCGGCGTGCGCCTCAGCCTGGGCACGGGTGAGGGCAGGAGCCAGTGCCTGGGGTGTCCCCAGGGCCTCGGAGTGTTCCCCAGCTCCTCGGGGTGTCCCCAGCCCCTCAGGGTGTCCTCTGCCCCCCGGCGTGTCCCTGGTCCCCAGGCTGTCCCCATCCCCAGCTCCCCGGGGTGTCCCCCAGCCCCTCGGGTTGTCCCTGGCCCCTCGGGGTGTCCCCATCCCTGGGCTCAGGGAGTGTCCCCTATGCCCCTCAGGGTGTCCCCCATGCCTCGGGGTGTCCCTCAGCCCCCCGGGCTGTCCCCATCCCGGGCTCAGGGGCTGTCCCCATCCCCGGCTGTCCCCATCCCTGGGCTCAGGGAGTGTCCCCCATGCCCCTCAGGGTGTCCCCCATGCCTCGGGGTGTCCCTCAGCCCCCCGGGCTGTCCCCACCCCGGGCTCAGGGGCTGTGTCCCCATGCCCAGCTGTGCCCATCCCCGGGCTCAGGGCTGTGTCCCCATGCCGGGCTGTCCCCATGCCGGGCTCAGGGGCTGTGTCCCCATGCCCAGCTGTGCCCATCCCCAGGCTCACAGGCTGTCCCCATCCCCAGCTGTCCCCATGCCGGGCTCAGGGCTGTCCCCATCCCCGGCTGTCCCCATGCCGGGCTCAGGGGCTGTGTCCCCATGCCCAGCTGTGCCCATCCCCAGGCTCACAGGCTGTCCCCCAGGCCCCCGGATGTCCCTATCAGAGGCTCAGGGGCTGTGTCCCCGCAGGCAGCAGCTACGGGCTGCCCGTGGGCTGGATGGACTCCACGGCCGAGGAGCAGCGCGTGTGGCAGCAGCTGCTGGAGCAGCCCCGGCGCTGGGTGGAGGCTCTGCTGCCCCTGCGCACCGACCTGGTGCCCCGGGCATAGCCCCGGGCGTAGCCGGTGCCCGGGCCGTGCCACCCGGGGTGCCACTGGGCAGGCTGGGTGCCCTCCCCTCCAGCAGCAACGAAGCGGCACCGGAGGGCACATCTGGCAGATTTTATTGCTGTGGGCACAGCTGGTGCTGCTCATTGCCCTGACCTCCCCTCGGCTGTGGGGCTGCAGCTGCTGCGTCCCACTGCTCCCAGTGTGGGGCCGTGCCCTCCATCCCCGTCCCTCCAGCCCCGGGTGTGGCACTGGGGGGGCACTGGTGCCCCTTTTCTCGCTGGGTACCCCTCCCCGGGCTGCCCTGCCCCCCTGGCACACCCGCACTGCGTCACTGGGAGGGCTGGGGCCACTCGGGGCCACCCACCCATCCCACCCTGAGGGCAGAGCAGCCTGACCCCCGAGGCTTTCTGCAGCCAGGATGTCCCAGTTCAGCCCCACTGCCGGGGCTGCGGGGTGGCAGGAGCTGTGACAGGGGCTGTGACAATGACACCGACGCCACAAATTACAGGAAAATCCTTTATTGGTCTCTGTCCCTGCTGTTCCAGCTCGGGCTCTGCCCACTGTGGGGCCAGCAAAGGCTCCCCCAGTGCCCCCCTGTCCTCTGGGGTGCCAGCACAGGGGGGGCTGAAGGTGGAATCCAGGGCTGGGGTCCCCCCTGCCCAGCTGCATCCCCCGGAGCATCCGGGGGGGCCCAAACCCCCGGGGGGGGCTGGGGGGTCTGTCCCACCCTGGTGTCCCCGGTTTGCATAGTCGTGGGGGGCTGTGCAGGGGTGCAGTCCGGCCGGGGCAGGGGACACCGGCGGTGGCCTCGTCACCTGGGGGGGCGGGGACAGCGCCCCCAGCCTGGAGGGACTCAGATCCTGGGCCGTGGGACAGAGAGGAGACGTGGCAGGAAAGGCCCCGGGGCTCACCCTGGGGGTCCCAGCCCCTGCAGCGCCCGGGGAGGGGGTGCTGGGGGTGCCCCGGTGCCCACCCACGCCACGGGGAGGGCTGGACTGCCCCCCCAGGCACAGCGACCCCCGCACACAGCACAGACTCCACCTGGCAGAGTTTAATGGGGGCAGCTACAAGTGTCACCCCACGGCACACGACACGCAGCCCCCTCCCCAAAACAGCACACAGAAAGAGGGTGGGGGAGAGGGCCCCCCCCGAGCCCCCCCAGAGCACACAGAGGCACAGCAAAAGCACACAGCAAGGGCCTGGCTCCGCTCCTGGGGCGGGCACGGGGGGCACGGCGGGGGCTCCAGCCACAGTGCCACAGGGGAAAACACCACGAGGGGAAGGGGGGACCCAAGGCTGTGGGGAGGCAGTGGGGCAGGGGGTGCTGAGAGGGGGAAGGGGGCTGCTGGGGCCAAACTGGGGCCATACTGGGAGCCCTGCAGTTGCCATGCTGTCAGGGAGGTTCAGGGTGGGGCTGGGGGCGCTGGGGACACCTCCCCAGTATGGGGGGGCTGCCCCCCCGAGGGGCTCCATGCCAGAAAGGGGGCGAGGGGGGGTCCCCCATCCTTTCCCTCTCTAACAACTGACAGGAAACAGCAAAACCAGCTGGGAACCACCGGCCATGCAAACCAGGAGGGACGGCCCCCCCTGCCCGGGGGGCTGCGAGCGGGGCTGGAGCTCTGGGGGTGCGGGGGACACCCCCTCCCCACTGCCGGCACCCAGAACCTACTGGTTGTCCTCTCTGGCAGCGTGGAAGGAAAGAGAGAGGGGGCACGGTGCCCACATCAGACACGGCGACCCCGGGGCTCCTGGCACCGCTGGGGGACACACCCGGGACCCTCCCGACCCCGGGCCAGGGGACAGCAGTGAGCAGCTCTGGGGGACACACCCGGGACCCTCCCGACCCCGGGTGTGGGGACAGCAGTGAGCAGCCCCTGGCAGCTCTGGGGGACACACCCGGGACCCTCCCGACCCCAGCGGGGCTCAGAGCCAGGACCCAGACAGACAGCGACAGACAGAGGGGGCAGGACAGCCGGACAGCCACAGGGGGACGTGAGCCCCCCATGTCCCAAATCGTCCCCTGTGGCGTGGGGACAGACTGGCACAAAGAGGGGCACAGACAGCGGGGCACAGGACACATCCCGGGCTGACCCCAGTCCTGACTTAGGGTGGGCTTGGCGCGGGTCCCCCCCAGCCCCCGGGGCCCTTACAGCGTTTGGTAGGTGCTGTCCTTGGACTTGATGAACTTGATGACGAAGAAGGCGACGGCCTGCACGCACAGCACCAGCACCATGCCCCCCACGAAACTCGCCGTGTCGAAGCCGGGTGGGTGGAACTCGGGGCTGCCCGTCAGGGGGGCACTCGTGGTGGTCCCTGGGGCCGGGAAAACCGGAGTTTGGGGAGTCACGAGTGCTGCTGGCACCGGCTGTGCCCACCAGAGAGGGGGTTTGGGTGTGAAGAAGGCAGAGGCTGCTCAGGGAGCAGTGGCAGCTCCCGGCGCGGGGCTGGGATGTCCCCAGCAGTGCCCGGCTGCTGGGATGGGCTCAGCCCCCTGCCGTGCCAGGGCAGCTGGAGCTGCAGGAAAGGAGCCAGCAGCAAGAGGATCCCAGGGGATCAATAATTCAGCAGGCTCCGGGCTCCGGTTTCCCGCTGCGCTCTCCAGTTCCCCCTTCCTGGAAGAGGCTCCTGCTCCTCTCCCAGCTGGGCTGGAGGTGCCAGTTCCCAGCAAGGATGGAGTCAGGGCTTGTTCCTTGGTGGGTGCCACGATCCCCTGCATTGCCCCGTGCAGAGAGGGGACAGGGACAGGGCTGTGGCCTGGGACAGCGGGCACATCCATTGGCCCAACACCGAGGTCAGGGAAGAGCCTTGGGACGAGTCCCTGGGGCATCCAGGCCCCCCACCCTGCTGCTCCCACCCCTCCCCAGACCCACTCACTTGTGGAGTGTGTCACTGGCTCCTTGCTGTGCGATCGTGGAGGTTCTTCCGTGTGGGACTTCAGTGCTGGGGAAGGCAGGCACAGAGGGCAGGGGTCAAAGGGGTGACAGGGGACACTGCCACCCAGCCTGCAACCTGTCCTGGTGCTGGGATTCCATCCCCACGGCCTGGCACCCGCAGCAGCACCTCTGCCCAAGTTCAGAGGGGCTGGGGGTTACCTGGGCTGGGGTTACCTGGGCACAGGGCGCTGCTGTTGTAGAGGGCGCAGGTCCGCGGCACCGCCGAGCCCCGCTGCACGCAGCTCCCTGCTCCTGCGGGAAGAGGAGCGGTTTCCCAGGGATCCAAAGCAGGGCAGCCAGGGCTGGCCAGGCCCAGGGCTGCCCTGAGGGGCTGGGATGAGGAGGGTTCACTCCCAGGGGTGAGCAGAGGGTCTGGGAGAGGGGGGTCAGAGCTGCACCCCGCAGGGCAGAGCCCCTGGCTTTGAGATGGGCCTCGATGGTGACAGCAGCTGGGACTGGGCATCCAAGGGTGCTGAGAGCCAGTCACGGGGCTGGGGAGGGTGGGAGAGCCCCTCTCTGTGCCCACCCGGCCCAGCCCCTCACCTGGCTCCTCGGGGGTCCCGCAGCCCGCCCAGACGCAGTCGGTGCCGTTGTGGGGGCGGCTGCTGCCTGTGCACACCTCGCAGGAGCTCAGCTTGCCACACTCTCCTGCCAAAGCCGGGCAGAGGGGGTGAGGGCAGCGCCAGCACCCCCCTCGGCACTGGGGAGGGGGCTGCACCCCCAGCCCCACGGAGGGGCAGTTCTGATGGAGCAGCAGGAGGAATGAAGCACATCCCATACACCAAACCCAATGCCCCGATGGGGACAGCATCACCCCGCGAGGGGACACCCCCACTGCCAGCACCCCCAGCTCACACAGGGCTCCCCCACCAGCCACAAGGCAGGGAACACCCCCGGCCCGGCCGGGACATCCTTTGGTGGAGGCTGAACCGAGATGGGGCGGCGGCAGCCTGGTCGGGGTTACCCGAGCAGTGCCACCCCTCTGTGCCCCCAGCCCATCCCGCGGGACCCCCCTTCACCGGCCCGGTGAGTCACCGCGGAGCTGCGCTTCCCCCACACTCAACGCTCATCATTAATTCACGCCCTGGCTGCCGGGGGAGCCCTGCCCGCCTCCGCTCCGTCCCGGGAGGGAGCGGGAGCCGCTCCCCGCGCCGGGCGCGCTCCTCGGGCAAACCGTGCGGGCCGGGCGCGGGGGCTCCGCGGGCTGGCTGCCCCGGGCTGGGCTGTCCTGGGGGGAGAGAAAAGCCCCTTCCTTCTTTCCCAGGAAAAGCAAGGGGGAAACTGGTGGCGCAAGGCAGGAAGCGGAGATGCTGCGGCCGCATCGCCATGGCTACGGGAGGGGGAGGTGGGCACGCCGCTGGCCCCCCCTGCCAGCATTTGGAGACCTGCCGGGAGCCAATGGGAAAGTAGGACTTTGTTCGCAAGGCTTTGGGCAGGTTTATAATTTATTTTTATCGCGGCAGGCGCAGGAACAGACGTTGGAGCCCAACGCTGTCAGCTCCCGCTCCTGCCGTCAGGTGTGGAGGGAGGGGGGAAAGAAGGAAAGAAGGAAGGGAGGGGGGCAGCTGAGGGCAGCTCCTCTCCCAGGGGTGCCCCGGGAACACGCGTGGGTCCCGCCGGGATGAGCCAGGGCGGAATCGTGTCCCTGCAGCAGAGGGGGAGCAGGAGCAGCCCGGGCTTTGCATAATTAATGCCCGGAGTTGCAGCACCTCGGGGAGCGGGGACGGCTCCGCTCCCCCGCTCCCCTCTCCCCGCCGCGGCCCACCAGATCCCCACACTTTTTGGGGAGGGCTTGGACGCTGCACGCCGCTCATCCCGCTGCAGCCCGGGGGCCGCGGGGGTCCCAGCGCCCGGAGCGCGGCCGGCAGCGGGAGCGGGGGTCCCTGTCCCCCGCACCACGGCATGGCCACCGAGTCCCGCGGGGGCGAGAGAGCCCCTGGGGAAAAACCAACCCGCACAGGAAAGTTCAGGCGCCCCAAAGCCGCGAGCCGCCCCCCGCGCCCCCGGCCGTACCTGCGCGGGTGGGAGCGGCTCCGTGCGCGCACAGCAGCGCGCACAGCAGCGCGCAGCGCAGCGCCGCGCGGCCCGGCTCGGCGCGCTCCCAGCGGGAGGTGTGCCCGCGGATCTCCCGGGAGAGCGGAGCGGATGCGCGCCCGCGGGAGGCGGCCCCGGAGGAGGGGGCGGCCCCGCCCCGCCCCGCCCCGGCGGGCCCGGGGGTGTGGGGGGCTCTCAGGGGGTGCGACCCCCACCACACCCACACACACAGCGGCCGCGGGAAACCGGGGCTGCACGGACAGCACGGACTGAGCCCCTGTGAGCACACCTGTGCACACCTGTGCACACCTTTGCACACCTGTGAACACATGTGAACACACCTGTGCACACCTGTGTGCACCCGAACACACGTGAACACACATGTGAACACACCTGTGTGCACCCGAACACATGTGAAAACACCTGAACACAGCTGTGTACACCTGCACACACCTGTGCACGCTGTACACACTGCACACACCGCACACCTGCACACACCTGCACATCCTGCCCCGCAGCCGGCCCGTGCCCGCTCCAGCCCCGTGCCCGGGACGCTCCGAGCCTTCCCGGGGCCGGGTCCCGGCTCCCGCCGTTCAGCACCGCTGGAGGCTCCCGTCAGGCTGGGCCGAACCGAACCGAACCGAACCGAACCGAACCGAACCGAACCGAGCCTCTGACCGAGCTCCCAGGGGCGGCCGCAGCCGTGCCCGGGACCACCGGGGTCTCCAGACTGCCGCGGGGTCCCGGCAGAGCCGCAGCCCGGGCTGGGCTCTCCGGGACCCCCTCTCTCCTCGGCGGGGAGCGCAGCCCTGTCCTTCCTCCTCCTCTCCTTCCTCCTCTCCGGGGGGAGCCCCCCGCAGCCCCCCGGCCGGGCATTCCCGCTTCCCGGGCCGTGAATTATCCCTCCCGCTGTGGGAATGTCCCCGGCTGAGCGGGGGCAGGACCGGACCCACCCTCGGCCCCCTCACACCCCCAGCTCCGGGCGCCCCCTCCAGAGCGGAACCCCCAGACCCCCAATTGCGGGGGGGGGGGGGGCCAGCCCCAGCCCCCCCCCCCCCCCCCCCGGGGGGGGGGGGGCCGGG